GGGCGGACGTCCGTGTTTGATTACCGTCAAAATTAAAGTGCGTGTGGCAGAACGTGCAATTCATATCCTGACGATTAGTTCTACTTGAAGTGGTTGTTTATAAACCCAGCGCATCTCTATTCAATGACCCCGACAACACGAAATCGTTTGAAACCGTATATCATACACGTTTTCCGGTTAAAGCTACAAAGAGGCTAGGCGGATTTGAGTTACTGCAAATGAAACTGGAAAACGTTTGTTTCTGATGTCGATGATGATAAACATGTCCTCACATCCAAGAACTATTAACGTCTTGAACGTAACGCCGGTATTGAAAGCATTTTGTAATTTTACTGTGAATATATACCGGCTGCTATGTTTTCAAGGAAACGAAAGGGAAGTTCAAGTTGTGAAAACGTGGCCTACCTAAGTTAAGGTGCTTTCACTTGAAAGTGAGAGGAGGCCCGTCGGCCAATTGGGATGGTTAGTACACTGGACATCGCCGCATCCAACGGCCATGGCCGGGGTAATTTTTTGTGTTATTAGGAAAAACGTTTAAATCTCACAGTGACTCTTGAGGGGACACTCTCTCCATGCTCTTTTACCTCTGGAAGTAAGTTTGCCACTTGTACGTAATTCTAATGATGACTTATTTAAAAGCTTCCTCATATGTATTAGTCTGACAACATAGAGATTTATGTTAAAGCAGGACATCAAGTGGAATGAAATAACCCACTGAGTTGTTTAAAAGGCACGTGAAATGCGAAGCATTACATTAAAGCTCTTTTGAACTATAGATTGCAAAGTGATCGGAAAGATCTGCTAAAATTCTCAGAAATGCCGCCAAAAACTGTATGCAAACTCTCTACAAGGATATTTTTAACTCTGGGTCCCTATTTAGTTCCTTATCCGTTTTCCGACCGTGAGTCGGCTTAATTTTTTTTAAGCTTATCGTTTTTCTTTTCAGTAAAACGTCACACACTAGCATAAATTGCGTTTTTACTCAGGCTCATTTGATTGTGCGTCAAAATCCGAATTAAAATTACTATCTAATGCTACGGGCACTTAGCCGGAGAGAGCGTATGTCAATGACACCAGGCACAAGGTCGATAGGTTATTATAAAAACGTTGAACACTTTAACAACTTACACAATTGAGAGAGACTGGAGACAAGGGCGAGTACACTGTTGGAAAATGCGCGAGCGCAGTTCAGGTCTGTTCGCCACGCCTGCCAGTTGTATTCTTGCAATGAGTGTGTCTGAATATACAATATGACGTTAAGCGCTGCGTATAGTTGTCAAAATGACAACTTGAAGCGCTTTTTAAATCAAGCTGTCACAAATTCGCAGTTCTAGGTTCGAAAGAAGATGAAATTGTTGCTGGCGGCTAGAGCAATTGATAGCCTTTTAGACCGCTTTACTATTCTGTTAGTGATGGTACAAATCACAAACTATTTGGCATGAGGATATCATAATTTACCATGAAAAGCAATAAGGTTTTGATGCCAAATCCCTCTCGTCGCTTTCACACGAAACCTAGTAAATTAGCACGCCACAGAGATATGATGTCAAGAGAAAGAATGATACAGCTTGCCATTAAGGGGTTGGCTCGATGTGATGTAAAATTTTAACGGTGATCAAGCCTTACGTACAAGAAATAAAAAAAGACTTACCTCACTTATAACTCGAGTTTACTGGCTCTTAGGCCAATCCTAATCGCGATCAGTTCGTCAGTCTATGGTTTCCTTTGACTGGGTTCAGCAATTGCTTGTTTTCTTGTGTCCACTTATCGAGATCTCAAAATTAGATACTACACATCAGCCTGATTGTTTTATCTTTTCGTAAATTATTTCCTGAGTCCGACTACTGAGTAATATGACTGACTGTTTTTTGGCGTGGATTAATTATCAAGACCTTTAGCAGACAAAAGAGCATTAGTAGAAAACATGCAAGTATTGGCCTTCAAATTTATATCAGTTGATAAAAGCTGAGTGATGTACTTTCTTTCAGAATAAATGGAATGATAATTTCGTACTAGCTTTGTTATAAACTTTATACAAGCGCGTCATTTCCTATATTCTTACTCATGATTTCGATTAGAAATTGACACAGGTTGTTCTTACTCTAGCTGAACAAAAGCCGATGACTTGCCTTGAATTTGTTTATTAGTTGTTGGAATGACACCAAGCGCTAGCTAGCACGGAGGGCGCCCAGAAAACATACTGCACGGAATAGGCTTTTGCGGTCAAGTTTTAATATTTCCTTACACGCCTTCCTAGTCGGGTCAGGAATTTAATCTAATAACTTACCTTAAATCTGTGAAAAGAATTCTACCAAGAAAAAAACACGTTTCCTTTATTCATCTTAGCAACTTTGTCAGCGTTACGTCGTTAGGGATGACTACTTTAAACAACATCTGCTTGAAAAATCATATCTATTAAGACTTTTTCATTGGTTCAGAGTCCAAAGTCACGCCTGAAATAATGACACCCATTAAACACTGATTGGCCGGTTTCAATTTCACATCAATTTTTTCCGTCGCTTTCTTTGCAGTTTTTCGTGGTATGTAGAATGCTTTGTCTAGATAGTAAGAAAAACGTCCCCTAGAATTGATCGGGCAATTTGCCTTTTTTAAAATTCCTGTGGTGGAGGAATGTAACGTTATCTAACCCAACTTCCCCCAAAATAAATGCAAAGTAGACTACATAGGAACCTGACGAAAAACGATAATTCAGGCGAAATTGTTTTCAACCAAAAGTAACATTTTCCGCTGATTGTTTTTCTTTAGAACTGAGACAATGTTCAATACGAAATTTGGATACCTTTTCGCGAAGGGTGCAATATACCTGCACTCGCGTCAGTATTAAAACTCCGTTACTCAAAAGCCTTTCTATTTCGTAATATTGGCTTTGTGAAAGCTGGATGCAGCGTGAAATGTCAGTTTCAGCCAAAGAATTGTTGGAACGATGTCATCAGCATCCATCTTTTGCACAATAGACTTACTTCTCAGGTGAACGTAAGGCTATTAAAGTTGATGCTTTATGCAAATTATTGCTCTGCATAAAGCTGTGTTTGAAAAAGGGATAACATAAATAAAATAAAGTAACTTTCCGAAGAATTGAATGTATTTTTCGTCGACTCTTTCCTCGCAGGCACTACACTTACGAGAGAGCAATTATCGAAAGTCACTCGTCAACAAGCTGACCCCAGTGGAAGGATAATTCTGCGACTGTTTTACAAGCAATGGATGGTCTCTAATGAAGGAACGAAAACTGGAGAACTCGGGACAAAAATTATTAGTTCTGGCTATTCAAATATTTCCAAGCCAGCAGTCAGTCAGCACTTGAATATATTTTCATATCATGTAATGGCGAATGATTGATTGATTGGCAGTTTTATAATAAAACGACAGCTGCGGTTATGTTAAATATAAAGAAAACATTGGAAGCTTGGCCAGTTTTATTTTAGAAGCTACAAAAATCAACAAGTTTTAATTATAACTTCTATCTCCTTTTCCGTCTCAAGATATTGTAATAAACGTACTGACTTAATTTACAGCCTCTAACCTCAGTGTGTTTTGTATTTTGATTCGATATACGTCATCGTGATCTACAATTGTAAGTTTCTGAATTTTCTGAATATACGACATAAAATGGCTATAAAAATAACTGAGACGTCCTACTGAAAAGCATACAGCTCTTTCGTGAACAATCCCGCCCACGAATTAAGTGAAGATTACCAGAAAATTTTACATCTTGTTATATGTTTCCTTTAGATTTAAGATCTTAATAGTTGAGTTAAATTTTCAAACGTGTATTGATTTATATAATACTGACATGCGTCTTATCGACTTAAAATTGCGGTTATTTATAATTTATATTCCACGATTCGCTGCATTATTCAGCCTTTTTTTCGTTTAGTAAGACGAAATCTGTTCGCTGTTCAGTTACGGAGGCGAAATGTGTCAAGCACTGCTCTTCTGAACCGTTGATTACGCCAAATAACTATACAAGGATTCAGCGCCGAGCTTGAAAAAAGCAGAGTGTATGTCCACAACCGCCTGTTAACTTCTCCTTCACCCATTACATCGAGAACAACATCAGGCAAGAAACACAGTAAGGTAGTGCCCACCAAGATGGCTGATGTGATGGCCGCGGCGTTCTCATGCTCTATGGTGGCAGCTTGTTGGTGGTAATTGGCTGTACCTACTTGTTCCGCGATTTTTCTTCTCCTTCGCCTCCAGGACACCCACAGAATTCTGATATAAGTGAAAACCAAGCTCAGTATCATCGCAGCATGGACAGAGGCACCGGCACGTTTTCCTGGTTCCGTTGCGAACACAACACCAATAACTATGGACACGATCCAAGTCAACACTATAACCACCACGAGATCTTTTCTCGCGACGAGCAGAAGGTGATGGAAAGGTCGGGCCAAAGCCTTCATTCTATGATAAGTGATTATAACGAGGTTAGAGAAAACTACATGAAGGCCGATGTAAGCGATTATCTCGAATGCTGCAAGGTAGCTGTTGTTACTCTCGTCGTTGCTAAGATAGTAGACGTACATTGGCTGCGCAACCAGACAGTTTATAAGATCTGCGGCTGTTAAGGACACGATCAACAAATTCAGACCCTTTTGAAGCTCTACGTTTTGGTAAATCGCTACAATCACTAAACTGTTCATGGCGCTTCCAAAAATACTGAGAAAAGCGTTGACAATACTCAGAGAAATAACCCGTGCGGATGCCATGTTAAAGATAAACTGTTATGCGGACGCTCAGCTCTCAGCGCGATCAGCACTATCTTCAGTGTTTAGTTAAGTTTAGAAGCTTTTCACTGAATCTGACTTTGAAAATTATTGTTTGCTTCGTTTGACGAGAAAGCGCACGTCCTTAAATTACAAAATTTGCATTTGTTTGAGTTGTGTCGTCGTAAATTACATCTCGGGATTAATTGTAAATCAACAGTTTTCAGCCGTGGAAATGATTTTCTTCATATCCGTCAAAAAAAGTTACGACTGTGCAGTTTTCCTGGCCCGTGTTCAGCCTTTTCTCGAAACTAAATCTAGAAATTCTCTGTAAAAAAGAACATTTGATTTTTCCAGTGAGGATTCTACCTCGGACGTTCTGACAGAAAATGCGTAGGGGTT